GCCAAATAATCAAATGCATCCAAAAGAACCAAGGAACAGAGAGAGAGAGAGAGAGAGAGAGAGAGAGAGAGAGAGAGAGAGAGATGAAAACGACGATAGTATAACAGAAGCAACGAATCAGAACGAATACATTTTGACATATTGATTGGATGTGGATTCAACTGTCTGACATGTTTGAGATCAGCATTAGCTGCGAAATAAAAATCAAACATAAGAAAAAGAAAGCAGAATGCAACGTCAAAAAAGTAAATACACAATACATGCAAAATTGGAAATTGGTTTAAAGGTGAGATTCCGAAATGATTACGTACACTCCCGAAATCAACACAAAGAAAGAGAGCTGTACTTATATCGTAAAGATATTTTTTATGAAATTTTAAAGTAACTCGTGTTAAATATCATGACAAACGAACAGACTATGTTAACTATGGAAACAATTTACTCTAAAGTCATCTTTTCAATTTTAGTCACAGTTCTTGCATACGCGGTACTTAGTCGAAACTCACGAATAAATGATTAAATAAAACACACACATGTGAAGTTTTTGATGTTTGAGTGTATTGGTTGGGAAGGTTTGAATTTATTGGAATATAAATAAAACAGTGATTTGCTTGTACGGAAATGAGTGCGTTTTATGTTTTATACATTGTCCAAGAAGCAATGATTGTATTATCGTTTTACTGGTCATGTCACATTCCGAGCTTGTGACTGGGTCTAAGCAATTGTACTCAAATTTACTTAAATGTACCACTATTTTTTGAAGTGTACCATACTCGTGTGGATAATATTTGAAGTTCAAATTTCGGGATATTTCAAAAGCTCACTGATATTTTTGACATTTCTATGATTGATATTATACTTTACTTGGACCACTCTTTCGGAAAAAAATTATTCTTTATTCATTTAACAGCCTTTTGGGCCAATTACAAAACGTATTTTGACTACTTTATCTGGAACTTATAATGAAAACAAGTAGAAAAATAAAAAAAATTGTAATGCAAATTGGCAGATATCATTTTTTGTGTGTATAATTTAATTTCTAGAAGATATTTCAAACAAAAGAGTGAAAACACTGAATTCATAAAATATGAATTCAAATCCATGGAGAGCTACGAAATAACATCCATAAATAAATTAAATGCTTCCAAAGGCGGCGCAACGTTGTCTTACATAATTGTCGTCATCACCAACGAGTTATTGAGCGTTTCAATAAAACACAGAATCTACATTAACGTCCACGTCCTATTCTCAAGTAGAGTATGTAGCCAATGTGTCTATCCTGAATACAAGTTGCACTATACACTATATTCATTAAATCCATACAGCATACAATTTCGATTGTAAATTCAGCTTTTATTTGATTCTTGGCTTGGTACAATGGTAGCAATGTCAAAATATTGTCTTTTGTGCGACATTTCACCTATTAAAAACTGATGTCCATCAAATCATCACCTATAACTCTATTCCGTATAAAATACGGAAACATTTTAATTGCTTTCAAATTGCTTTTTAATAGAATTGTCTTATTTTCGATAATCTTTTTTCATTTTTGTGTCATTCGGCTTGTTCAAAATCTCTATCTCTTCATTTTTTGATTTATTCCATTTTATACCGGTTATCCATTGAGCACAACTTTTCACACCATATTAGAACTTTGAAATGCAGACAAATTCAAACAAGTTACCATTTTCTATATAAAACTTTACGCGTTGAGTTTAAAAACGATCACACCCTCTTGCAATGATGCTGTGTTGTTATACCTGATGGTTTCAACTTCCAAACGCTATATATCTATATGAATGTGAACCGTTAATAATTTGTGCCAGGTTCCAATCATTATTCGAAATGGAAATTGCATGCAAAATATAATATTATAAAAGTTTATGAAGATATGAAGGCGAGAGGAAGGGGATTTTTCATTAACTTTAATAAAATTCGGATAAAAGAGATAGAGACTGAGTGATTTCTTTGTCATAGCATATCTATTGAGCAAAGTATGAAATGTGAATTTTGGACTGTTGTTGTTGCTGCTGCTGCTATTGTTGCCACTGTAATTGATACAAATTTACGGTGGAGATTTAAAAATAATCAATACATTGTTGCTTGATTCAAGTATATTTAAACGTTGTCAAAATATCTCTCGTTAAATATGATTTATTGTTCTCAGAAGTCTGATCACCTGTACATTACAAGTATTTTTCATCACCCAATCATTTGAATCTCGAAAAATTTGCATGTTGTCTTTTATTTTGTATTTTGTTTCTTCCGCCTCTCAATTATATTTTCTCATTTTGTCCGACCCTTTCAATCTATTTTTCGTCATATATCCCACATGGGTTTTTGCTTTTCTGCTATGTGCATTCCAGCAAATACAAAATAAATCTCTCAAACTCTTTTTATCAATTTGATGTTTTATATAGGGGAAATCTTTGGTACACATTTTGCATTTCATGAATAATTGATAAAGAATTTTTTTTATTTTACTACAAGTTAATTTGCTTTTTCAGTCGTATCGTCACAATGGAAAAACCACTGCAAAATGTCGTCACGAATGAAATACACGAAATTCAATCGAGGAAGATATAAAAATCCAATCGAATTGAAAACGTTTACATTACCGAAAATATTATTCAATTTTCATGTATGATTTTGCTGATTTTTCAGAGTATACGCATAAAATTAATATACCCACACTTGCACCAAATTGATGGACCAAATTTAAAATGCAATTGGTTATATTTGGAATCGGCCGTTGTCGTTGTTTTTGTTGTTTTTGTTACTATTATGCGGCGATTTGGACGCTGAATATTTTTTACGATAAATTGAACCCGTGATTTGCATGCATTAATTTTTTCTGGAGTTTAGTGTTATGAAATGAATTCAATTCCACGATTTTCATGTGGCTGCATTTTATTGATTGATTTTCATACGAATTTCAAAGTTTGATCAATGCCAAATGAGTTATTAACAAAATTAATTTTTGGTAAATCAAATGTGACTGAATATGTATTGAATATAATAAGAGGAGAGTATGAAGCACTTATGATTGGATAAAAATATACTATCCTATCTTTTAAAAGTAACGCCAAAAACGGTCCAAATTTTGTTGTTATACGGGAATACTTCCATGTTTTGTCCATCAATGTCCACGACTTGCGTCCGTCCATTCTGTGGACAGTCTTATTCATCCGTCCATCGAAAAAGTGTCCATCGACCACCGTGTACATATTTTTGTCCATGGACACAGGCATTCTGCGATGAATCTTGTCCAAGGACGTTTCTCTCATTCTGTGGTGAATTTTGTCTACGGGCATTTCCACACGGTTAGTTATGACAACTAACCCGGAAATTCTACGTATTGGGAATGTTATTTTTTATGAAATGTGTACTAATGTAAGATTTTTCTTCCTTTTTGTTGAGCTAATGGCTGCACAATCTTTATTCTGTTTACAGATTCCTATCTGTCTAGAAAGATCTACGTGTATATTTTCCACTCAAAGTCATTTTAATTTTATCATGGCCAATGTGCATCTAGCGTTCTAAGCATACATGGGCGCAGAAAAGAGAATACGCAAAAACAATATTTTGTATGAAATAAGATGGTCAAATAGAATTTTAGATGGGTAGGGTTTTTGATTGGCTGATGGACTCCCTCCCCCTTAAATTTTGTCCGTGCCCATGTATGGTTCTAAGTGATGTACACAATTTTGAAGACGGACATAAATGTTCGATTAAAGAAAAACCTTCCAGTATTTTCAATTACTAAAATACAATCTATAAAGATGGAAAAAATATTTGTTTTCACTTTGAGTGTCAATTTGATGCAACTTTCCTCCATGAGAACGTTCGGTCAAAATGTCATCTTGGTGCAAACAAAATACACTGAAAACACAATGGAAATCCATTCTAACTTCAGAATACTGTGAATGACTTATGACCGCTAACATTTTTTTCCGATTCCTTTTACATCCGGACATTTATATATATATTCGTCAATCTGTCGCGTGTGTCCATTGAATTTGGAGCTAAACACGATTTATTATTATTGAATTGGAATCGAGCGAATGAAGGGCCAAAAAGATTAACCGATTTGGTGTGTGTGTGTTTTCGTAATCAATTTTCAGCAAAATGGTCCGAATATAGGTTTGGAATACGGGATTAGGGCAACAGTCACATACACGCACGAGCAACAACAAAAATTGAAATAAAAATAAATGAAATAAATATTCAGTGAGCGTTTGCTTGCCCATTCATTCCTTTGCCCATTTTATTGCATTTTTTTGGTCAAGCTGGCCATCAAATGAAGGAAATTATTGAATCAATTACCGTCATTTTGTATTGAAATTCATTGAAGCTCCTTGTTTTGGTTCCGATTGAAATTTTCGGTGGAAACGCATTTTCGTATGTTTCGAATATTATATGAATTACCCATGAATGTGTAGAGAAAAAGAACTAAAAATGAAGAAAAACCGAATTTAACGAAGAAATTTAATGTTCGTTGACCTTAATTCGTAAATTATAATTCCGCTATACGCAGTAAACATATTCGCTATACCCAAAACCAACTTTATATGTTTGAACATGTGTTTGAAATTCGATAATATACTCAATTTAGTTGAAGTTGAATACTCCGAATGAATATACTACTCGTCGCGCGAATAAAGAAGTTCAAAGAAGAGATCACACAAAAAACGAGCCATATTATTTAAGCTTTGATAACTCGTTCGTGAAATTTGATCAAAACAACGCAACGATGTTGATGAAAAATTAAATATCCACTTTGTCGTTGTTAGTCCGTTTTAGGCGGAAACAGTCGAAAAAAAAGTAACACAACGTTGCAAATGTATTGGATTTCATATCTGATGACAAAAAGCGTTAATTTTTTTTTTTTTTGCTCTTAAAAATTCTTGCATTTAAATTATATAAACAGTACATCAATCTTTACAAATAATTGTTTTAGCTTTTTTCATTTTGTATCTGTTCCTTGCAAGCGATGAAGTTTCAAATTAAATTTATTGCAAATTGTTGTATTTTATTTACAATATAAGTAGAGTTTGTTGGTGTTTTCCTTTTTAGTTGGCCGCCACTACCGTTAGCAAATAAGTTCCATTGCGTAAAATTATTCATATAAAATATTTCCTATATTCGTTTGAGATTTTAGTGTGCATAAAACTTTCTCTCATCTCTCGGAATGCTCATTACTCAGACTTATTTTTTTATCTGACTTTTCCCTATCTCGTCATTTTCACACTTCTTCATTTCCGCTGAATACAATTCTTTTTTGCTCGAATGATATTTTTTTTGTTGAGTACTTGCTCGAAGATTCAGTTTTACGAATTGTTTTATAATAAAAGTAATAAAAATAATACCCTTATGTATTTTTTATTTGGCGAAACATATTGCAGTTAGTATAAAGATTCATTTTATATTCCAGGAAAAATACTGTAATTAATGATGAGCCGAAAAGGAAACGCACTTAATAGCTTTTGGCCACGTTGATGTATGTATTGAATAAGTTGCAAGCGACATTTTCATGAATATTCCAGGCAGAACATTTTAAAAATTGGATTCGCAGCTCAGCTCCGTCGCAGTCATTCGTCAAATGATATTTGGTTTAACCATTTTTTATTGTCTTCTTTCAATTCTATGAGAATAAATATTAAAAAAAAAATTATATAAGGCTATAGGCTGCAGCCTATCATGATAATTTAGAATAATTTAGATAAAATAAAATGTTTTAGAAATGAAAAAAAGTAGAATGTTCTTACGTGCTGCAAAAATGAAGCAAAATTTTAATTCATTGTCAACATCTAACTATAGTTGCAGACGACTAAATTGTTTCTTTTTTTAAATGGGAATTGTGCTTTTAGGAATTTTTTGGTTCGCGCAGTTTTGTTGTGAATGTTGTGCCCGTTCCATTTTATTTCAAACATAACAGGCGGGCTGAAAAGTTCGTATCGTTTTATAGTGAAACACATTTTTTTGGCAAAATTCAATTTTATTATTCAACATAGTTGCCTTCGAGGGCGATACAGCGATTATAGCGATCTTCCAATTTTTCGATACCATTTTTATAGTACGATTTCTCTTTATCCTCAAAATAGGCCTCTGTTTCGGCTATTACTTGTTCATTGGTGCTAAATTTCTTTCCGGCGAGCATTCTTTTGAGATCTGCGAACAGGAAATAGTCGCTGGGGGCCAGATCTGGAGAATATGGTGGATGAGGAAGCAATTCGAAACCCAATTCGTACAATTTTGCCATCGTTTTGATCGATTTGTGACAGGGTGCATTGTCTTGATGAAACAAGATTTTTTTTCTCAACATATGCGGCCGTTTTTTTGCGATTTCATCCTTCAAACGCAACAATAACGCTATATAATAGTCGCTATTGATGGTTTTTCCCTTTTCCAGATAGTCGATTTATTTACATCCCAAATCCATTTACATCCCAAAATACAGATGCCATAACCTTGCCAGCCGACTGTTGCGTTTTTCCACGCTTTGGATTCTGTCGATTGGACTCTGGAGTGAAGTGATGGAGCCATGTTTCGTCCATTGTCACATATCGACGGAAAAATTCACTTTTATTGCTGTTGAACAGCTCCAAACATTGCTCCGAATCATCGACACGTTGTTGTTTTTGGTCGATTGTGAGCTCGCGCGGCACCCACTTTGCACAGAGCTTTCGCATACCCAAATATTCATGCACGATATGTCCAACACGTTCCTTTGAAATCTTCAGAGCCTCAGCTATCTCGATCAACTTCATTTTACGGTCATTCAAAATTATTTTGTGGATTTTTTTGATATTTTCGTCAGTAACAGCGTCTTTTGGGCGTCCACTGCGAGCATCTTCTTCAGTGCTCATATGGCCTGTACGGAATTTGGCAAACCACTTACGAACGGTTGCTTCGGCTGGTGCAGAGTCCAGATAATATTTATCAAGCCAATTTTTAGCTTCGGCAGCATTTTTCCCTATCAAAAAACAGTGTTTTATTAACACACGAAATTCGTCTTTTTCCATTTTTTTCACAATAACAAAAGTAGCTTCACTCTCAATGCAATAACTCACGAACTAATTGTCCGATTGCTGTCAAATTTTGACAGATATCGTTTGGAGGATGGTACTAACTAAAAATGGTATCGATTTAATTCTAGTGGCGCCCTCTCATAGAAACGATACGAACTTTTCAGCCTGCCTGTTACAACTATTCGATTCGACATACACTCATAAGCATACAACAGTCATTTGGTATGTGATTGTTAACGGTATCTTGCGATTTTTGTTCTCTTACTGTCATTGCCTTTTTTTTCGTGCATATGCATAAGCATTTCGATTCATATTTTTTACTAATAAAAGAAAATCTTTCGGTCAAAATTTGAAAGAATCCACTCTGGAGAAATGGGGAAAAAAATTGAATGGAACACATGACATTTTAGCATTTATTCTCGCACACATCGAAGTTCATACCGAATCAGTCAACCAATTCGAGTAAGTACTAGTATAAAAAATTGTTCTGATATAAGACTCTCAAATCTTACAATTTCTTGTGTGATATATTTCACAAAAGAGAGCAATTGTATAAAAATGCTGTCAAAAAGGGGTGACTAACAAAAAATAAATAAATGACTTTTAATATCATTGTTTTGGGCAATACTGAATGGAGTAAAGTGGTGCGGTACGTAACAGCGCAACGACATCTCGCTCCACATTTGCACATATTGCACATTACAGTGGCGATAAATATTCTAATTTGTGCACATTATGAACGAGTGAAATACGTTACACAGTTAAAGCAGTTCTTTTCCTTTCGTTTTTTTATCTATCTTTCCCTCCCATTCTTTTGGCTGGTCTACATGTGTTATATGATTTGAAGCGTAGTCCAAAAAGAAAATACGAGCACAGAGAGCAAAGAAATTCTTTATATCCCGTGTTTGTTTTCGCCACTCAACAATGGAAGCCCGATCTCTTTTCTGAACACTTTTATACGCAATCATCAATGCAATGATTAATAATACACCCATAGTTTCTGAAGTTATTCTCCGAAATGCATGACCAAAAATCTCAGCAAACTGAAAGAATTGACACCTGAAAAAATTGATTACCGAAAAATCGTCTTCAATATTGGAATTTTTTTTTTTTTTTTTTTTCATTCAAAAATAAATATATGGAAATTTACTAAATATTGGAATTTAGTAAGAGGTAATTTCTCAATCCGTGAGGTGGTCAATCCAAACAGCTCAGAAGCTTTGAGATGATAAGAATTTATGAAAATTGGATTTCCATTGGCACCTTCCTAATAGAAAATGAATGAGAGCGGGGGAACTCGGGATTTAGTGTTACTATTTTTTTAGAAAACCCGCAGTGAAATGGAAACTATTCATTTTTGGGAAAACCGCCTCAAATTTTTTTCACTTCAAATGTGTCAACCTCTGTGTGGTAATTAAATGAATTTAATTTATTGCATGGAAAAAGGCTGGGCACCCATTAAATCTGTTTTCTTTGACACAACAAAAAAAATCCTCCAGGAGGAAAATAAAATCGCCATCTTTTCGCCATACGGATAAACTATGTTTAATTTAATCTATACTATTGAAATGGATTTATCATTTACAAACATAGGTGTTCACGGAAAATAATATTTCTTGTACCTGAATAAATTTATGTCAAAAATTAGAAGTTACATTAGAACAGGCGTAGATTTAAAATTGAAGCTGCTGAAATCAGACCGAACACACAGCCTGCTTTACACATCTGAAACGTGTTTACATTATGACAACACGAATAGAACAACTTAATTTCATTTTTGCAAACATAATCGTAATAAATTGGCACACGGTATAAACCAATGTCATCGATTCATTTGCCTACCGAAAGACATTTAAAGCCAAATTAAACAATACGTCGTTTTTAATGTGAATAAACAAATGAAAGGAAAAACAATGTGTGTTTAATAAATCACAAGGTTGTTTCATGTCAACTTTTTGATCATTTCTTCTTTTCTTTTTTAATTTATTAGGTAGTGTTTGTATATAGGGGTTTCATGTCCAAATGTATACTACTACTGTAAATGGAAAAACATAATGCCAAATCATCTGATATACGCACAAATAAATGTGTATAACTGTATTTTGTCCGTGGCATATTTTTTGCATTTTCTTTTCTGTGTATCTATACTGTGTATGTATGCTCTTTACAATTTACAATACATCTTATTTACTGTTACAAACGAGAGATTTATGTCATGTATATGACGAATAAGATGTGAATATCGTGTATAAATCTGTATGCCCCTAGATTTGTATCAGGTAGTATTTTTTTGTTTTTATTGCTATTAGCTATTTTGATTGAAAACAAAAATGTTTACACATATTCTTATCCAAACACAAATTTCGTATCCCAAAAGATATAAATTCTCACACAGCTGGCTAATATACTTCATTAATCGTAGTTTATCTTAGCTTTCAATTCAATTCCGTTGACTTTCAAAAGAAAAGAAGTGATTTAAAATGAAATCATTAAACTTATTACTATTTGCAACAATTTTTCTTTTTGCAAAATGTTCAGGTATTATTCAGATTCTGAACATTGTTTTTACTTTATTAATTGAAATTTTCTATTATTCATTTCACTTATTGGTGCTAGCTTTAGGAATTAATGCGCGAATTATTGGTGGCATCGAAACAACCCTCTATCAAATGCCATGGCAAGTGTCTTTAGTTAAGGGCTTTGAAAGATACGATGTGCTTTGTGGTGGTTCCATTATAGGAACAAACTGGATCCTTACGGCGGCACATTGTACATATGGATATCCAATCAGTATATTTACCGTACGCGTTGGCTCATCGCATTGGGCATATGGTGGGAAAACTGTTCAAATAAAACGTAAAATTGAACATGAAAAATACAATAAACTGGCATTAGCGGATTTTGATTTCACACTCTTGGAATTGGCTGAACCATTGCAATTCACTGATGCAGTCCAGCCAATCGCACTGCCAAATTACCATACGCTGGTACATGTGAGAGACGTGTGCTTGATTTCGGGATGGGGTACGTATCTATTTTTATCACTTTAATCAATTTTGAATGTAAAACTAATCGAAATTGTTTACCAATCAAAATTAGGACAAATGGAAAATACGGGACCATCTGCAGATATACTTCGTGCAACCAATATATCTATATTTGATCATAAAGTTTGCAAGCAACAATATGCATTGAGTATAACAAATAGCATGATTTGCGCTGGTACCGAAATAGGCGAGAAAGGTTTGTGTTTCGGTGATTCTGGTGGACCATTATCGTGCAAATTCAATGATATTCCTGTATTGATTGGGGTGTCTTCAAAGACTATTGGAGGAGCTGGAGACAAATGTGGTCACACTGGAATCAGTTCAATATTTGCAAATGTTTTGCATGCTCGTCATTGGATTAGAACATTGACTGGTATTTAAATGTAATTTATTGTTATTGATATTATAATCGTCATTAAATATTTATGCTCTAAACTAGTACCCAATAATAAAAATAATTACTAGTCGATACATTTAATTTTTTATAACCTTTTCGGCAAAACATTTTTTTTTTGTTTTTGTCCAATGAAATGATTTCTGGCCGCAGATGATGCAGACCTTAGTTCATTTCAGCATCTATACATTTTCAGATTTGAATAATAGTGGAATTTGGTTAAAAGTATAAAAATGCTAGTATAAAGTTGAAAGTTGAACAAAATGACAAGAGACGTGGAGCCTGGATCAAGATATCACCTTTTTTAAATTTAGTGATTTGCTTAATAGAATTTTAACCATAATTCCCAAGGAATTCAACGGTGTTTCGGTTCGATTTCTTTTATGTAAGTGTCTTTTTAGGGTTTTTAGGGATTTTTCTATCGAATCGCAGTACACGTGTTAGTATGATTTGGACGGAAAAGAGGTCGAGTCATTACATTTATTAAAATATAGTAGGGCAGAGGAGCTCAAGATGACCACTATAGACTTTTTTTGACAGATGAAGTGCCAACACTGTGCACTCTCTGTCGTAGATGTAGTTTATACAGACGCAGTTTTTGACAAGCACTCCAAGAAAAAAGTCGCATTCGTTATTCCTAAATAAAATCAAGTTTTGATACACTTTCCATACGTAGGAATGAAAAATGTAAATTTTTGCTACAAAAACCTAATTATACTAGTATTTGAAATCCCAATTGAAAAATAGTAAAATTGGCTGACAACTGTTTAAAATTAAGATTAATTTGGCCACTTAACAACGGACTTCCCAATAAAATTACATTTTATGTGATTTATCAGGTTTCGATTTCAATGCGATTTTGACTTTTGATCTTGATCGCAAAAAACACACATTTATTACCCTTTTGTTACTGAACACCTGGTACAAAAGTGTTTTAAATGTTATCGTATCATGTCAAGCTGAAATTGAAGAAAGTACTTTTAAAAGCGATAAAAAAGTCTGTCTCAATTTGCAAACATTATTTTTATTGTAACTTTTTCAAGTAGATTGATAAAGATGTGGAACTCTTCACTTGCATGTCAGTCACACAAATGATTCGTTCGCAATGATGATAACGAAAATTCTTCCACTAAAGCGATAAAATACTTTGATAGATAATCCGATTGTTTTCAACCAAAACCAAAAAAATGATGCAATTTAATCGCGAACTTTTTTATTAATTTTATCGTAAACTTCAACGAATGCGTTTTCGCATTGCAATTGCTTGCGCATACGATCATACAACCGATGATCAAACATTTGACGGAATTCTTCACGAGTGCGGAAACAATCGGCGTAAAGCATTTGAAATCCATCCGATTTGACAACGATATCTTCTAGTTGGCGTGTTGTGCGTTCTGCCTCGAATTGACCACGTTTTACTTTAACTGTGCCGTATACACCAATATCGACATACATGTCAACCTCTAATCCAGATGCTGGATGAACCATACCAGGATCATTCCACAAACGGAACGGACACAACCACAACGGATAAACATTTACCAATTTGTTAAATTCACGAATACAGTCGGCCATTTTTGATGTTGGCACCAATAAATCTTGGATTACTTGCGTTTCTTCGTACATTTTTTTAACCACTTCTGGTTGTGTCAATTTCAAAAATGACACTTTTACCGGCAATAACCAGCCGAATAAGTAACGGAAAATTGGATGATTTCCAAAAGGCACGATGTCCTGCAGAGGATAAAAACAAATGAATTACTCAATATGTTGAAAAACAACGAGAAAGGAAGAAGATTTTCCGTGTGAAAACTTACTTGCAATTCCCAAAACAAAGCACGTGAATGACGATGATAATAATCACGCAGTGGAAGATATTCGATAACAGTTTGACCTCTTGGTACAGTTTTCAGAATGTTTTCGACATACTTGAAGAACCATGGCTTGTACCATTTACCAATATCATTAATCTGATCCAAATAAAGATTTAAATTATATGTTTTACAATTTAAATTTGTTACTTATTTACCTTTGTATGATCCACCTCGTGATCTGGCACCATTACTGCTGTCATAATAACCGCTTCATCTAAGGTGTATTGCAACCCTTCGACAAAATTATTGTTTGTATCGTGACTAGCTTCGTTAAAGCGTTTGGCAATGTTTTCCAGTCCAAATACTGGTTCATACTGCATACGAATATACCTTTTGAGCAACAAACGGTAATGAACAGTTGTAAACGAACGAAAAAAAATTAATTTAATCAAAATCACTTACTTTGTGGCTGGCAAAATTTTCAATTCAACAGCAGTTAAGAAGCCCAATGTTCCATAACTCCATGGGATGGCGTAGAATAATTCGGAATTTTCTTCACGAGAACATTTTACAACGCTGCCATCGGCCAAAACTAATTCGAATGATAGACAAATATGTTGGAAAAGTCCATAGTTGTGAGAGCTAGATTCAACGCCAGTTCCCATTACCAAACCACCAACAGTCAAGTCGTCAAGTTCAGGCACAATGGCAATAGTCCAGCCAATTTTTGACAATGTTTCTGATATTTGACCCATCGTTGCCAATGGCTCTACACGAACGCTACGCTTCTCTCGATTAATTTCCAAAATATCAATCAAATTGCATTCGATTTGATGCATGTTTGACTTGTACATCGGTTTACGGAAGCTCATCGTTTGATAGCCAGGTCTTGCTGTACACATTTTTTTCGTTTTATCTGATTTGTTCCATTCTTGAACCTTGAATGTTTCGTTTTCAGATTAAAAAAAAAAACAACATTTCCAACACACAAAGTGAATAGTTTTAAAATTACCTGCTTTTGAATTTTGCGAACTTTATCGTTGTGAGCATGTGGGGCACTGCTCATATAAAAAATGATTTTGTTGCGTGTGTAAAACCATAAATTGTAGAGAAATGACATCGGTAACAATAGAAAGCACACAATAATCCATCGATAATCGATCAATAGGATTTCCATAAAGGTTTCACCTTTAAATTCAATAATATCGCTGTTGTCCATGGTACTAGATGCAATCACAAGTCACAATGAATATGATTCTCTTTGTTAACGTTTTATTCGTTTTCTTGTTAAGATTAATTTGAAAAAAATCATTTACCAAATTTTGCGTATAACAATCGAATTTTTATGCTGTGTATTCCTGCACACCGCAAGTGCGACTGAATTGTTTGATTAACCTTGCGTTTAAATTGTCAACTGAAGTACACTGAAAGAGAATGGCAATAAT